CAAATTCCAACCACTCGACTGCCAGGAGATCTAAAGTCACCCTGCACGCAAACGGTCGGTGTTTAAGTAGCTTTTATGGTCATCATAGCACTTTATTAGGGGCGTTACCAGTAACCCCCAGTCTTAATGTACTTTAAACCTTGCATTACTGAGGGCTGCAGGGGCCTGGCGAACTCTATATAAGTCACCCCCCTCCTCAGTATCAAGGGTTGGCACCCCTGTTATTCATACACACATAATTCAGTCGACCGCCTCCGGGCACCGAGACGTAGGGCTGTTACTTCCTCCGAGAAGGGCCTGAACTCGTAATCCTCGTGTGCTTACAACTCCTCCATAGCTAAGATCTAGTCTCTCCATACATACCCCCCTACATCATTGTCAGAGTGAGAACCACGACAATCACTGCGATCATGTCGTCCTGACATGTTGAATTTGGAACTGAATCTGTTAGTATATTTGTGTTTTTCCTTCCGTTAAACTTGAGACACCATAGCGGGTGCACCCCTAGTTGTTAATCTGCGGACTCCTATAAATATGATCATACATATATTGTTCCACTACGCAGGTTGTGTTAAATTCACACGGTGGCAGGCTTAGCAGCATACATAACTTTCAGAATTCTGAGATCTGTCCTATGAAACTACTACTAGTACAGAGTATATGTATCTCTGACGGTGGTCGGTGACCTTTGCGCTGAAATCTTGTGTCTGACCAATTCGATCGACGCGTTGCTGTTTGCTGACACAGTGAGGCCGTGCTTGGAAGCAGTGTAATCAAATACTGACGTATTTATTTTACACGTGTAACTCAATGGCCATTAGCAGATTTCCAGTCGGAAACAAAACGATGGACAAATGTCTGTATTTCTTTCTACAGAGGTATTTGAGGCTAAGGCCATGTGTGGATTATCGTGTTTCTTTCAAATACACCTGTAAAAGATACACGCCTCTGCGCCTCTGTATAATTTCCGGCAGGAAATCACTCTAGTCCGGCAAGATACGCTTGTAACGGCCTGTTGAATTACATTCGATCCAAGCGCGGCTTAAAACGATAATCCAAACAAGGCCTGAGTGGGCAAGTAACTCCAGCGGTTCATATACATCTGACAAATCCAGCAAGCCTCTGGCGAGTTTTTCCTATCTTGTTATCTTAGTTTGCCTTTCCCTGTATCTTAAGACTGCTTGTGGATTTCTCAACGCCGAATGGTCAGGTTCGCGAGGCGAGGATAATATTTAAGCTTGAGAGAGACTTGGGGTCATGTTTTCCTCTTGATTAATACATAAGGATTAGCAAAACAATTAGAATTTGTGCATATACATAAAACATTTACTAGATTTATTGAACAGAAAAATACGTACAGTACAACTAGACGCACATAGCTGCACGCGCACGTTGCTTGGACAGTATTATTGATTCGTCGTCACCATCGTACGTGTAGATGATCCATGAAGAAAACACATGCATGCACCTTCAGCTGCACTAGCGGTGAGCTGAAAGCTCGTTGCTCACTGGGTTGATAAGTATCTTGTGCTACTGTTAGAGTGATCGCCAGTTTGGAGTATCTCGATTCTCGAAGAGTTGGTGAGGCGCGGATGGGCCAAGGGACGGAGCACTACAGTTGGGCTGTGGATTCAGTTGAGGCCATCAAGATTCAGGCCACCACCACCCAACCAACACAGTGGCGTCCATTGCTGTATAAATACGCTGTACCTGTGCAGCCCTCAATTTTTTTTTTGCTGTACCTGTGCATATAGAAACAAACTGATGATTTTTCTGATCCCAAGGATCGGCCGACCTGAAAGCTACCTGCACTCACGTCCCGGCGATTTCTTTCCATGTTCACCAACAGCTGCCTCAGTCTGTCAGCAAACAGAGGCAATGATCTCTGCTCTGCTCATCACTTGGGCGGATCAGGTATAGTACCCCGTCAGGGAAAATGGGCTACTGTTGCTCAACTTATCAAGAAAAAGAGAAGCAAACTTTGTCTGCTCTTCACCCTGACCGATCGCAGATTGTGCAGTCTAGATGGCATCAGAACGTGCGTAAGAAAAACGACCAGTCCTAGTTACTGCGCTGGGGGCATTATTTGTCCCGATCATCATCGGCCGTACGTAGATAAGGTGCTCGACGATATGCGTCGTCTTGGGACTTGGGGCTTGTTTGTTCCGGTGAGACGCGTCGTCGTTGCTGCTCGATCCACGAACGATCGAGAAGCACCTCCGTCAGCTGCACTAAAAGCTATCTGCACCTGGACTGACAAATCCGGTTTCTCAAACGCCCGCGAACTGGCGCGTCCGCAGACAGTGTCTGATCACGCCCTCTGCATTCGAGTTTCTCATATTTCAACCTTCATATCCATACAAAGCATGCAAATGAGATTCTATGTACTACATACTACGTACTATCCTAGCTAATCTTGATTGTCGGAGTTGTCCGTGATGTCGGTGCCGGGCGCCAGGTGAAGGCTCCGGCTCATCCTCCTCCTACTCGACCTCATCCATGTAGGCGAACATCTCCTCCTCCTCCGCGGTGTGTTGCGCCTCCATCTTCTGCCGGCGACGGCATCTGGCCTCCGCACCGACTCCGGGCGGAGGGAACCGAGGATGGCCTGCTACTCCGCCACATCATCGGCGTCCCCCACATCTTCCTCCGGCTCCACCTCCTCCTCAACCTCCTCCAGATCCACTGCATCTAAAGGTAGCCCCTCAACGATCTGGGCTTCGTGCCTTGCCCGGATCTACTCAAGGACCTACAGCAGGCGCTCTGGAGGTAGACATGGGTAGCCCCTTATCCGGCTGCGTGGGGGCGTGGCTACTAGTGGTGGCGAACGAGGAGTGGAAAGTGGCGGCGGTGGCAGACGAACGGAGAAAAATGTGAAGGGGTAGGGTTTCGTTGCCGGCGGTCGGCATAAATAGCTGGGCTACGCACTAAGCGGCCCGCCGGAGCCACGTGGCTACATCGGTCCGTTGGAGGAGACGAGTTTTAGACGGCTGGGTTTTTAGGCGATTCTGCATGGGACCCCAGCGTCAGTCCGACATGGCGGGCGCGCCCATGTGCTTCATATTCGCCCCGTATTTGGGTTGGATATGAGGATATCGGTTAGTTCAAGCATTTGGGGTCAGTTTAAGGCGTCTAGTTGGGTCAAAATTTCATGACCGGTCAGCACTAACGTTAGGGACGGGTTTGGCTGTAGATGCTCTAACACTACTAGTGTATGGTGGTGATGGTGAGGTGAAAGGTCGTTGCTGGATTACTCGGCCTGACTGCCTGAGACGTGCATGCTACTGTTAGGAAAAGAAGCACTGTTTGGCTAGGCTGTGGATATTACAATTATATTCAGGCCACCACCCAAGTTGAAACAGTGGCGCCTGCCAATCAACGCACACCATGCATGCAGAGAAACAGAGCCCGATCGGATTGCCGCTTAATTTTGCCGTACGAAACGGGATTGTGTCGACGTGCTTTCGCGTCTCGCCACCCACATACACTGCAGACTGATCGGGCGGCGCGAGAGAGAAGCATCTTTCGTGCACTCGACGAGCCATGGGAGGCTTCTGATGAGATCCAGGCATGTGTGCTGCTGCTGATCTTTTTTTTTCGTGACACTGAAGAAGTAATCGATCTTGACCTAACACGTACGGGCTGACAATGGCAGAGATAATGGATCGGTTGGACACTTTTGGGCTGGCCCGCCGCGGACCACGTACGTGCCTGCCCACCATACAAAGCCCCAATGACTTGAGACCTGCAGTGCCTACCAGATGGCCAAGTACGTCCGGTCCAGGCGATTTCCATGTTCATCCACGACAGCTTCACGCTCTCACCCAATGGCTCTGCTCACTTTGGTCAGGGTAGGGATGGCAAGACCAAACAGTGCGTATATAGCGGTACACTTTTCCAGGGGTGTACATCTTGGGGGCTTGGGGCAGTGCAATTTCCATTTCCTGAGAAAGGGAAACAAGTTTGACCATGTTTGGACTTGTTTACTTCCACTCTATTCTCAAGTTGAATTTCCAATCAGTCGATCCCTCACTCGCGCAGTCGATTTTGAAGTAGTAGTAGTAGAAGAAGGCGAGGGCTTGCCACTATATCAGGGAAACAAGTATGATCATATTTTGAAGTAGTAGTAGAAGAAGGGGAGGAAGAGGCAGGGTCCGATCTCGAGACAAGACGTCGTAGCGTTGCGGCCGCCAAAGTGGCAGTGGTAGGGGTACAGAAGCAAGGCTTTCGCTTTCAGTTTCAGAAAGAAAATTGAGCACCACGGCCAAAAGGCCGAAATTTTCACTTTAATTCAATTATATTTTTTGAAAATATTTTTAAATAATTTGAATTCATGTGTATTTTCGACATTGTTGAAATGTTTTGACTAAAATGTAAATATATTAGTGACTGCTGAACTTACTGAAACTCAGTGAATTTCATTGAAATATCACTGAAAGTGAAAAACCATGTATAGAAGTCACTCACAGCACTGTGAAAACAATGTCTAACATTTGGCCAGATGAGTATAGTTATCAGTCTTGCTAAGTCTCACTTGACTAAGACTTCGTTAAGTCTCAGTCGATACTATATCCATGTAAAATTTTCTTTTCAGTTTTTTCTTTTACTCTCTTACATGTTGTATCATTTGACTGAAACTTGATTAAAGCTCAGTCGACCGAGACCTAGCCACACCTCATAGTTATTAGCGGTACATGATGGGACTCATGGGAGCGAGAAAGCTCGAGCTACGTACGTAGCACTCCATCGAATCATCAAATAATTCAACCATATCTAGCTGGCTGGCGATTTGCAATCATCGAATAATTCAACTATCAACATCCACATATAATTTGATCAAGTATAGTAGTACTAGTACAGGCACGCGTGCATGCTCTCAACAAACACAACACAGCCTACGCCTCTCGCTGGCTCAATCCATCTAGGTCGAATCGCTGATGCCACCAATGGCATGACACCGTTTCTTCCCTAAGCAATCGCATTGCGCGCTCGCATGGTAGCTAGCACTGGCCGCTCTGCTTGTTGTTGACGGCGGAGAGGCCGACGAGCAGGTCCACGAAGGCGCCGACGATGAGGCCGTGGGTCTTCTTGCCGTTGGCCCGGAGGTACCACCCCAGCATCTCCTCCAGCCACCCCCAGTCGTCCTCGCCCCTGCCGCCGCCGCGGCTCAGCACCATCTCCTCCATGGACCGCCGGAAGTCGCCGTACGGGTCCGCAGAGTCGATGGCCAGCGCCGTCGCCCCGCCGAACGCTGCCTGATCCGCCTCCGGCTTGCTCGCCGTCACGATGGATTTCGTCGCCTCGGGCTCGAAGAAGAGCCGGCTCGACGCTCGGATCTCGCGGATGACCGCCTCGTCCATCGAGGGCTCCGGCTCCGGCTCCGGCGCCGCAGTGGAGGCAGAAGAGGAGCCGGAGGCGGAGAGGAAGGAGTTATCGGCTGTGTCGTCGCAGTAGGCTGGGTTCATGATCACGCGGGTCCTGCAGCAGTCCCAGCGCGCCGACGACAAGGACGCCTCCCCCTTCACACTGCTGCGGCCGTCGAAGGACGCGGTCCTGGCCTGCGCGCAGGAGGGCCATTGCCACGAGGCGGCCATGCTGCGAGAGGACGCAGCTGATATGGACGGAGGAGACGACATGCTCTCGGCGGTGGCGTCCACACTGCCGCTGGTGAAGAAGAGGGAGGCGAGGGCGAGCTTCTTGACCATGGCTGCTGCTGCTTGTCACTTGTTATGATGTGCAGAGGATGATTGATCAATGGCGAGGGAGCTGATGGGGAGGGAGATGAGCTGAGATGGCCTTGCTTTTAAATGGAAAGGAGATGGAAGTGTTTGTTGTGTGCGTGTGAGAAAGGCAAGGGAAGATGGGCGTCGTTGTTGTGTGAGTTGGGAGTCTCCTCTTGTCTGGCCGGCCGGCGGTGATCCACCGGTTGGCCCAATTGTATCCACGCGGTCTTGCATGGTAGCTGCCCAAAATCATATAATACTCTCTCCCTTTGTACAGCTGTGTCAAAAAAATCATCAAGGAAAGGAGCCCCAAATTTTGTCATATTCCCTTGATTCTGACAGGTTGGGTACACATATCAGTTAGAGGCACCGTGGGCCGGCGCGAAATAGATCGGAAGCGTGGATGGCACTTCTTAAGTGGGACAGTGGAATTCTTAGCCCATCATGATTCATGTCTTGGTGCTCGCATTATTTCTGAATTTATTTTAGAATTTCCGGCGATGCACTTTCAGTGGGCGTTCGCGTCGACGACGAGGCGTCTATGGCGACTTCGTAAATTTCAAGATGCCATGCTGGCTCAGTCTCTTGAAGGTGCTCATAGGGATAGGGTGTGCGTGTGTGCGTTCATAGGGGTGAGTGTATGCGCGTATGTATGAGTGTTTGCATCTGTACTAATGTTCAAAAAAAAGTGACACCTGGCCCGACCCGCCACGGCCGAATCCGCCACATAACAAAACCCGCTGATGCACACCTGGCAAGCTTTAGCTGACCACACTGACCCATCCCTGTGGCGTTTCGAATCCCTATTTCTCTCTTGCTCAATGGGTTAGGAGCCTGTGAGATGATCTCCATCATTTGGTCCAACATGACCAAACCAATTGTGAAATTGCGAACGAGTGAGGTATGGCAAAACTCATGCTTAGACCGAGAGCAACCATTGAATGCCACATAGAGCAAGCATGCCTATCCCGGCCAGACAACCAGACGCCATGACGGCGGATGACGCACATGTAGGGGATTAGGTGATGCTAATAGCGCCATGGGCAACAACTGTGGTCAAGAAGCTCGCCTTCTTCCTCTCAAGGTCGATTTCCTTGGTGGATAAGAGGTGGTCTGTGGTGGATGAAAGCTTCAAGAATAAGCTCAGCATCCCGTCAGAGCGGGTTAACCTGAGTTCTTTCTCCCCATTTACTCGTCGTCATGGTGTGGCGGTAGAAGAGGGAGGAGGGGTGGATCCATGGTCTGGCCTTCAGATCTGGCGTGCTGCAGGGTATGATATGGCTTTGTTGCTTCTTACACATCTTCTTCAGCTGCCTCAACCTTTGTCGTATAATATACGGATCAAACAAGGATATGTCTTTGAAGAACGACATGGATGGCTAGGGTGGTTTGCTAGCCTTTGGACGATATGTCAGCTACTCCATCCGCCCCACAATATAAGATCGATTTTCAAGCAGGGGCTTTAAAAATACTCGCTCCTCCCCAAGCCACAATATAAGATTGTTTTTCAAGCAGCTTGAAAAATGATCTTATATTGTGGGGAGGAGGGAGTATTTTCGAAGCCCATGACTTCATCCTCCGTTGGTGAGGCCCTTCGCTCCTTCTCCCAAGGTAAGGGTTTGGTTAGAGATGGCGGTAAAGCATCACCGATGACGTCATCGGTTGATTTAGGATCCAATTGCTTTTCTTGCTTTCTCCCATGAGGCCCTGAATGTTGAATGGGAGGACATGTTTATAATTTTTAATTTCTTTCACCTCCTTTGGGTAGTGCTCTACATCTTTGTTATAATAAAGTCGGCTCTAGGTCCTTATCATCCCTTCCCCTGTTAAAAAGAAAAGGAAAAATCACTTCCCAAAACATATCTAAGCATATGGTTCACAAGTGTCTAGCCAACATATTTAGAGCGATAATGTTGGTCAAACTTTTCAAATTTTGACTCGAAGTACATTAAAAAAATGTGTACCCAAAGAAATTAGTTTGTACCTTTTTTCAATAAAGACATCCAATGGTTATCTTAGGTCTAATTAATGTAAGGAAAATAAAACCGATACAATGGACAGATAATTGAACATAGAGCGATGAGTAGAACATTACATTGAAAATCGTATTAGCCTTCTTCTTTCTTTGATTCTATTATGTCTGCCAAAAATAAAAAAAATTGCATTGAATCTACATCAAAGCACTAGTGCAGAACCGGGCAATAGCACCGGTTCGTAAGGCCCTTTAGTGCCGGTTCAGGAACCCGGCACTAAAGTTTCGGCACTAAACCCCCCCCCCCTTTAGTACCGGTTCAGCACGAACCGGTGCTAAAGGGGTACCACGTGGCACGAGCCAGCTCCGGGGGCCGGGAGCCCTTTAGTACCGGTTGGTAACACCAACCGGTACTAAATGGTTGTGGGTTTTTGTTTTATTTTGTATTTTTCAATTAAATTTGTGTTATCAATTTAATTTAGGATTGTTTTACGTTATAATGAGTTGTAGTCGTCATCATCATCATCATCGCTAAAAATCATCGTAGTCGTCTAATTACCACTATTTAATCATCATAATCATTACCGCTAGCTATGTAATCATCATCAGCGTTGGCTAGCTTAAAGAGGAAACATTCACTTTGTAACAGAAGCAAAGAGATATCATCAAGTTCAACATAATCATCACCAACATCGAAGTTCAGGACACGGATCCGGCCATGAGACAAGTACTAATTAAGAGCATGAAGTAGTAGCTACTGATCCTGCTGCTCCCTCTCAGGTAGAATAGCATAGAACATGTATAGCTCTCCTGATTCATCATACTGGAGCATGCAGATGAATCTGTCTCCTAATCTTGGGTTGCGCTTCTCCTTACTGCCCCCTAGTACTTCTCTGCGATCGTTAACAATTTTGCTCCAATCTTTCACTATTAAGCATTCTTCGCTTTCAGAAATCCTGAATGCACTCATGTGCAATGTAGGAAATCTTGGTCGTAAGCTAACCATTGACATGCGACCTTTTGTCTCAATCCACTGAGGCATAACTGTCATCGGAAGTCCCTGTTGAACAACATCGTATAGTAATTAATATACTAAGCAATGAAAGTTTTAGCTTCAAAAATAATGTATGCAAAAGATGCACTAATTAAGGACAAATATTTAAAATCTTACCATCTTTTGATTATAGATGTGACCGTAGTTCAATACGATCACCATTGGTCGCACGTTTTGAGTACTAACATTTCTAAGTTTAGGAAAAAAAATTGTCTTGACAGTATTAAGATCCTCAAGCCATGAAACATAATGACTTATCTCCTTGCAGTTTAGTTGAGCCCCGGGGCAGTAGTAGGTCCTGTCTACCAAGCGCCGGACATGTTTGCTTGAACCGAAATAAGCTGACAATACAAATTAGTTGTCCAATATTTTTGAATAAACTGTATGAAAGACATAAACATATGCATGCATGGTTGAGAAAAACTCACCAAATGGTAGAACTGGAGGCGTTTGCACATCGACCCAGATGTCTATATTACCTTCAATATCATCTTCCGGACGAATATCAAAGGTGATAACCATATCAGGCTCAAATGCATAAGCCTTGCATAGTGCTTGCCAAGTTTTGCATTCAAAATGGGTGTATGTGTCTCCATTATATAATTTGACGTTGAAAGTATATCCATGCTCCGTCTTCAAGTAAACTCTCTTTAGCTCCATATCATCTATAGCACTAAAACCTATCTTATCCAAGACAAAAATTCTTGCATGGCAGGGGATGCGCTAGTAGAATAGTGAAAATTTAAAATTATAAGTTGAAGCAAATGAAGCATAAGTTGTGCATTCAAATAATAATTGACAAAGTGACTTACTGTATCAACTTCAAATGTCTCATCCAGCTTGATGCTGAAGCGCCTACCATCAACAAGGAAATTTTGGTTGCACAGGCCGCGCTGGTCTTCACAGTGTTCGCACATAATAAAATATTTTTCGTCGTCAGATGATATTTCCTATGTTCATATAGGTGAAACATTAAACACCTATATCTAGCCAAATATATATTCATCTCATATTTGACATTAATATATCTAACTATATATTCAATTGACATTACTATATATTGAACTTTTCTATCTAATTCATAACATTCGACATTAATCTAACATTTATATAAACTCAAAATATATAAAAAATTAAATAAACAGAAAAACTCATGAACAAATAATATTTTAATTAGATCATCAAATCTCATATACCTAAATTTTCTTACTAAAAATAAACTAGTTATATTAATTATTCAACTAGTTCTAATCTCATATACCTAAATTTTCTTACTAAAAATAAACTAGTTATATTAATTATTCAAGTAGTTCTAATCTCTAGTTCGACAATTTTTCTATCTAGCTAGCTAATTCATCTAACATTCGACATTAATCTAACATTCGAATATCTAATTAACTTTTCTAAAAAATAGAAAATAAGTAAAAAAAAATGTGTGTGTGTATGTGTGTGTGCATGCATGTGTGTGTATATATACGTATATATGTGTGTACGTACGTATGTGTGTATGTGTGTGTGTATGCGTGTGTGTGTGGTATATGTGTGTGTGTGTGCGGCCCTACGCCGCCGCCCCGTACGTACGAGCGGGGGCGCCGGCGTACGGGGCGGGGGCGCGGTGTGTGTGTGTATGTGTGTGTATGTATGTGTGTGTATGTATGTGTGTGCGCGGGAGCGAGAGAGAGACGTACGGCCGCGGCGATGACGACGGACGGCGGCGGCGTTCGGGGCGGCAGCGCGAGACGACGACGACGACGGGCGGCGGCGGGGACAGCGACGATGACGACGGTACGGGCGACGGGCGGCGACGACGGGATCGAGCGGCGCGCGCGGCGGAGGTTGGAGACGAAGTGGGGAGATGAAACTGAAATTTTCGTAAGTGCTATATATATAGGATGGGCCTTTAGTACCGGTTGGTGGCTCGAACCGGTACTAAAGGCCTATTTTCGCCAGGCCAAG